TGGGGATCGAACTACAGCAACCTGAGGCTGACAGCTTTGTGGAAGCAGCCACTTAAAGAACTGAGCTAGGACCAGGCCCCCTTTTTTACCTTTTAATTCAAAGGTACCCTAAATTATTAGACCCAGACACCTTGATATGACTTTGTCCTAAATACAGAACAGAACAAGAAAATTTGTCATTTGAAAGTGATGGTAAATAATACACTTGCATTTGAGGGTTGCTGCTGTGGTCTGAGTGGGGGTTGACACACATATTTATATTGAGGCTTAATCTCCAAAGTAAGTGTATAGAGGTATTAGGATCTCTAAGAGGGGTTAGTGCTACTTTAGCAGGAATGAGTTCTCTCATGGAAACTGGTTGGTTACCTCCAGAACCTGGCACCTCTTTTTCATCTTTCACACAGGTACTCTTGTTCTGCTTACTCTCCCTGTCTGCTTTCCACTGCAGTTGAACTGCCAGATCACCTTCTGGAAGAGCTGCGTAGCTGGTGGTTGCCTTTAAACTTCCAGAACTGTGAGCTAAATTTTTCATTGTAACTCACTCAGCCTCAGGTATGGGTGTGGTCACTTATATGAAGACACATTGTGAGAAATGGGTTAGCAGTGTATTTACACAAAGATGGCTAGGATCTTATATGACCTCATAGGACGATTTTTTTTGGTACCAGGGATGGAACTCAGGCCCCCGTGGTTGCCAGGCAGGTGCTTATGCTACTGAGCCGTCTCCCCAGCCCTGGATCACTGTCATATACACAGCCCATCATTGACTGAAAGAATGGGCTGAATGATTGCACTTTGCTGTAACACAAAATAGACAGGTACACACCAGTTCGGGGTGTTTGGCTCTCATTAGTTTGTCCATGAAGCTCTGATCTGCTTTGAATTATCAAACATGAGGAACACAATGATCACAAAATATAGCCCAGGAAAGCCTTATTTGGATGGCCACCTCAATGCCCCCTGTAATGTTCTCAGCTTTTTCATACTTATAGGGGACTGGAGTCAAAGGAAATAAGGAAGACTTCAGGGTATTTTATCCTTTCTCCTAGGGCAACAAACTAATTTGATCTCTTATTTGATGACCTAAAACACACCAATGTGTGGTCAACAAAACTGGTAATATTTTGTAATAGCATGAAGCTTTACGATGTGCAAAATATCCCCTTCTCACAAATTGTAGCAGTGTTCATTTTGAAAAACTGGGGGAAAACTGCTTTTTGGCTGGGCAAATAACTTGGGTTCAGGGCTAGGTATTAGAAATCTGAAAGATACATTGTGAAGGAGAAAAACATAATCTGTTGATTACTAGTGACAAACCCTAAATTAATATTCGAAAGGGGTTGTAGCTCAGTGCTGAGTACTTGCATAAACTTGGTTCCATCTCTAGCACTGTTAAACAAAAACACTGACAAAGCTCAAAATGTTTGATAATTTTCCTTGATTTCTGGCTAATTATGGTGTTATTTCACCATCAGCCACTTTAAGAACCACCTCTTTAGTGGACAATAAAACACCAATCCAGGCTATACCTTTAGTGGTTACTTTTTTGGTACCAAATGAACTTGGTACCTTTTACTTGCCAGGAAGGCACTGTATCACTGAGCTATATATCCAGCTTTGTTTATAAATGGGCTTGATTGTTTTGAAGGAGTCTTAAATTTGCTGCAATCCTATCTCAACCTCAAGTACTAGAACTACAGGTGTGTGCCACCAAGCCAACTTGAAATGGGGTCTTTTCTAAATTGCAAAGCTGATCTAGAATCTCCTAACTAGATCTGTGCTAATACGGTAGCTACAGACCTGCATTTAACTATGAATTAGCTAAATGAAATAAAGTTAAAAATTATTTTCTTCAGTTAGCCAGTTTGGGTGCACAACAGCTGCATGGAGCTAGTCTTACTGCATTTTACAACACAGACCTACAACATTTTAAAATTCCAGAAACTTCTATGGTGAACACAGCTCTAGATTATTTTTGACTCTGACCTTTTGGCTGAATTAGATCCTAAGAGCTACTCTTGGTAATGATTTAGTTTTAGGTCACAGGCCAATCATAACCACGTAAGATAATGCTGTAACTCAGGGATGTGTGTCATAATTTACAATGTGTAACCTGTTCTAGTAACTTGGGGTAGTCTTGCTCACTATTTCTCACACCAAGCTTCATAAAATTAAAGGCTTTCTTGCTGTTGCTCCACCTAACCCAAGTTGGGTCAATTCTTCCCCCCCTTAGGAATTTGGAACTGGAAAGCAGAGGCTTTCAGATTCCCTGGGTATCTGGGACTATAATACCAGGTGTTAGTCATATTCCATTATGTAAAACAGAGTTGGTGAAATGACCAGAAAAACAAGTGAACAGGTAAGCAGAGATTAGGCTGCCTATGTGCTCTTTTGTTCCAGTTCTCTTGAGATTTTTTTTTTTTTTAAATTTATTGTTTATTTATAGTTTAACTTTTATTTTTTTTAAATATTTATTTATTTTTATTTATTACATTTATTTATTGTGTGTGTGTGTGGCCAGCTCAGCCCACCAGGGGGCGGGGCTGGCTGGCATGTGGTGCTGGGGGATCGAACCGAGGTCTCTGTGCTTTGCCAAGCTTGTTCTAAGTAGGTGCTTTAGACCACTGAGCCATCTCTCCAGCCCCTCTTGAGATTTCTGACACTGAGTTACATGAGAAAAACCTGCATTTTAATAGTTCTGCTTAAGCTAGCTTAATTTGGTATACTAGAATTAGAATCCAAACATAATACATATTTATTCACGTACATGTAATATAGATGAATATTACACTTGTTACTGGAGGGATATATATAGTTTGCCCCCTGGTTGTACCTTCCTCTAACTTTTCTGGACCTTCTTACCTTATTTCCTTATCTGAAGAGTAGCCTTAGGCTTTCCTCCGCTTCTACTCTCTCTTGCTCTAATCAAGATATACTACCTTTCTGGGTACAGAAACTCTTATGAAATCAAGTTGTATAGGTTGACTTTACGCTCCAGTGAATGTTGCAATTGCTTAGGCTCAACGACTTCAGTCATCAGTAGTCACAAACGTAACCCCTCCCCCCCTTCTTGGCAGTGCTAAGGACTGATCACAGGGCTTCTCAGGGAACTACAGCTCCAGCTCTTTTTCCTTTTTTATTTTCAGACAGGGGCTCGCTCCTCTGCTAAACTGCTAAGGCTGGGCACTCACACTTGCCATCCTGTTTCAGCTTCCCACAGTGCTGAGATTACAGGTATGGAATATGCCCAGTTCCATAGTGGTGAATTTTGTGAAAACCTGGTCTGAATACAACTGAGCACAGTACTGAAGTCTTAGCCTTCTTGGGTGAAGCAATTAGAAGACCTCCTGCTGGATCAGCTGTGAAAAAGAACATGGACAATTAATACCATACTAGCTGAGGGCAGGCACATACAAATGTCCCAGGTAGGAAAACACCATCTGTTATCAAGCAGCAGCAAGGAGGCTTGGGTGGAAGGGTGACAGGCGCAAGGAGAAACCCGTACCAGGTGAAGTTAAAAAGTTCACCTACCATAGTGAAAAGTAATGAGGTACTAAAAGGTAATGAGGTATTAAAAAGATTTAAGCAAGGAGTGACCTGATGTTTTTTAAAAAAAATCACTCTGTTTGTAGAGTGAATTGCAGGAGATAAACAAGTGCACTCTGGAGGTAACCATGTGTACTAGCAATAATCAATCACAGCAAGACCTATAAGGAATTTTGGAGATGGACAATTTCATGCATGTTGGCATATGAAATTCAGAAGACTTAAAAATGCTTTTACTGGGCTGGAGAGATGGCTCAGTGGTCTAAAGCACCTACTTGAAACAAGCTTGGCAAAGCACAGGGACCGCGGTTTGATCCCCCAGCACCACATGCCAGCCAGCCCCGCCCCCTGGTGGGCTGAGCTGGCCACACACACAATAAATAAATGTAATAAATAAAAATAAAAAATAATTTAAAAAAAAACTTTAAAAATGCTTTTACTGATGAGCTCCTCTACTTTTTAAAGACCCAGTCCCCATATTAAGGCTGTTAATAAGGCGGACTTAAAGACCCTAAAATATCAGACAGGGCCTTATTTTCTGTTTTACACAGCTCAGGATTCAGCTATCACAGACTATTTTTGATTCCAGTGATCGTCCAGGGTAAACATTTTGTCGTTTTTCTTTTCTCTTGCCAGTGAATTTTGGCGGACTAATTGTTGAAAAATGACTTTCAACAAGAGGACAGCAGTGTTCGGGGGTTCACTGACACTCCTGAGCCTTAAATTTCAAATACACGTTAGTCTTAGAATTTACAGTGGTTATTTCACACTGCACCAAGAGAGAAGACATTTTGTTAGCAACCCGTCTTATTGCATGCACGTATACATATAAAACGCAGTATTCACCTTGCCACTCCAGACAATCAAGGGAAAAACTCGACAATAACCGTCCTGCCCGCGCCCTCCCCGTGGACCCCTCCCCGCGGCACGGTCGGGCACAGCTCCGAACGCATTGTCTGGGCGACCGCGGACCCGGAGGCACGCAAGGCGCATTTCCCGCACGCAGCCGCCGCGCGTCAGCTTCCCTCCCGGGACCCGCAGCTTTTGTTTCGGTTTTCTCCTTGGACTCCATGCTACTAGATTAACTTTCCTTCGGGCCGTTAACCTTTAGGCCTCCGTCCCCTAAAGTTCTGAAAAGCCAGTAAAGCCAATCCACAGGGAAAGAATGGAAATAAACAGTTTCCTCAATTGGCCGCTTCCCGGACACATTTAGGTTTTTCTTAAGAGTGACCCCGAGGAGAGCCACGCAGAAGGGACTCTCCGGCCGCCGCAGCCGACCCCGCCGCAGCGCTCGCTCCCGCGCACGGGGGCGCGGGGCACGCACCGTGAGCTGAGCGGAGCGGAGCTGGCCTCCGAGCAGCGACGCTCTGGCCCGTGCTCGCTCGATGGTTCTCGCATGAGCGCGGGGTCCGCCCGGTCCAGTCGCCAGGGGGCGCGCTGGCTGGCGCCGCCGACCCCGAAGTACGCGGCCCGATCCTGTCCGCCATATTGGATGCCGCAGCCGCCGCTGCCAGCGCTTCCTCTCTGTCTTCGCGGTGCGCTGCTGGTTCCCGTGGCCCAAGCGGCGGGGAGGTGAAACAGGAGCCTGTGGGAAGAAGAGGAAGAAGGGGGTGGAGAGTATAGGGGACGGGGCCTGAGGGTGGAGGACAGAGACGGAGCGGGCGGAGAAGAGAAGGCGCCGCGCCAGCCCCTCCCCCGCCCGCCGCCGACCCGCCCCAGCAGGCTCTGTCCCCAGACCGGCGCTTCGCCCGCCCAGCAGCCATGCCCGGGCCTCACCGGCCCTGAGGGTACCCTCGCCCGCCAGTGCCTCTCTTCTGCGCCCGCCCCGCGTCGCAGCGGCCGCTCTCCCGCGGGCGCCCGCGTCTCGCGCTCTCCACCCAGTACAGCTGCCGCCGCCTCTTCCGCCGCCGAGCTCGGGCCTCCGCGCAGGCAACATGGAGGCCGTGAAAACCTTCAACAGCGAGGTTGGTACTGAAGCCTCGGCTCTTACCTTGCCCACGCCGCCCCCGCCGGCGCCAGCGCCTCACGACGAGGCCGGCGCGGCGAGGGTGGGTGCGGGTTTCTCGGGGTGGGGCGGCGGCGGCCTAGCTGTGCCGTGGGGGAGGGGAGTTTTATGCGCGCCCCTCCCCCGGGGCCGGGAGGGCGGGGGAGGCCCGCGGGGTGGAGGGAGGTTCCGCCGCTCGGCGCCCTATGGACGGCCGCGGGTCGCAGGCCAGGCGCGCTTGGGCCCTCCCCCCAGGCTCCGGCGGGTCTCGCGGGTCGGTTCCTCCCGGGCCTGGCCCGCCCACCTCCTTCCTGAGCCTGGGGGTTTAACGGTCCCGGGGTCGGACACCCCTAGACAAACCTTCCAGGGTCTGCAGAGAGGTATTCTCTGATAGGGTCCTCGGAGGCGGTAGGTAACGAACTGTAGTCACATCGCTTGTGTTGATAACTGCGATGCTGTTGACTACATAATTTGTCAGCTAGGGACTTACGCAGGCTAATTGGATGGTTGTTGGGGACGCAAGGTTATTCTGCGGTTTTTGTATTTTATTCTCCTCTCATCACGATGTACACAAATGCAGTGGAGCGATCTGGGCATTGAGGAAAGATGCTGGGGAAATCGTTTCCTTCTCGTGTTAAATGTAACACGAGATTTTTAAATTTTTATAGTGATTTAGGTTGTTAATTGAATTTACTGATCGGAAGGAAAGTAAATCTTTAAAATGTATTGACTTTATTTTGAAGGCGACAATTTTACTGGATTTTACTTCACACATTAAGCATGGCAAGTACACAAACACAAGCAGCATTATATCCTTATCTGTACACCTTAGAAATATGATAGAAGCCAAATTAGAGGAATTTTTAATGAACTTTTGATTTGGACGTGCTAAAACATAATTCACTAGTGTAATGTTAATCTCTTAAATTGATATCTTAAACATCGGACTAATGGTTCTGATAACTCAAATTAGGACAATACTTTTAAATTTTATATTTGTATTTTCCCTTTAAGGAGTAAGAAGTTTAGTGAAGAGGCTAAAACTTAGATACTGTGAATTGGCCTTACCATTTTACACTAGTGCCAACACACGAACTTTATGTGAAGAATTGTTTTTTAGTAGTAGAATTTTTTAAAACAACTTTTTGATAAAATACAGCAATAGATTTGGAAATCTTTAGGAATTTATAGCTGATATTTTGGGGCAAATATTTCCGTTTGGGTTTCTCACCCAGTAGTAACTTAAAATATGTAATAAAATCAGTGATACTACATGATCAACTTGTTATGAACAGTTTTACATTTACAGTTGTTTGGTGTGTGCCAGGAATTGTAGCTTTTTAAGTTGCCATACTCAGTGGTACAGCACTAATGTGAAGGCTTCAAGTAATTTCCACGGCAGTTACTGGATTTACCCCTTTGTGGCTCTTTGTTGAGAATCCTAGTGTGTGCCCCACCCCCCACCCCTTAGCCCCCATCAGTGTTTAACAGGAGCCCTCAAGTGGTTAACGCATTATGGTTGGTCACAGTGGAGAATAGTGTAAAGATCCTTGCCAGTTTTTCACGTTGTGCTGCTTGGGGTAAAGGGCTTAACGTTTCCAAGTCTGGCTGGGTGTGCACCACCTCTTATCTAATCTTCACAGGAATTTGAGATTTCTTGCAGGTCTATTTTTATGTATATAACACATCTCTTTCTCTCTTATGGATGAACTAAAAAGTGTTTGTCCTGTTTTATTTGGTTGTCATTCTTGAAACTGAGGTTTGTCTTTCTTATGGAGGAACAAAAAAGTATTTGTCCTGTTTTATTTGCTTGTCATTCTTTAAACTGAGGTTAGCTTGAAATAGTATGGAGTCAGTTGAGGAAGGGAAATACATTTGAGAATAAGAAAACGCTTTCTGTTTAAGCAAGTTATATAACTTTGTTGAAATCTTTTTTGTTTGTCTGGCTGTCTTTCTGTCTTGTCCTTTTGAAGCAGGGTTTCACTATGCAGTTCAGGCTGGCCTTGAGCTCAGTTTGTAGCCCAGGCTGGCCTCTAACTCGAAATGATTCTCCTTCAACCTCCCAAGTGTTTGGATTACAGGTGTGCACCAGCACGCTTGGCTTAACATTCTTGAATACTGTTGATACACTAAATGTGACATTGAAAATTGGCATATACTGGGAAGCAGTTCAGTAATTTCTATGAAATAATCTGTTGGAAAGCACAAAAATTTAAAAAACCTCTAGGACTAGGAGAAAACAGTATTTTAGAATGGTTATTTAAGCTAATTTGGCTTTTAAAAACATTTATTCTTGAGTTCAGTTCTTCAAAACTTGCTAAATTAAAGCATCTTTTAGCACATTTATAAGTTTAGCTCTTAAGAATTTTTGGTGTTTGTCCGCAAGGTATTTTATTCTTTAAAATGTGTGAAATGCTTAGGTTTTATGACTAATTTTAGATTTTCCGAGATAGAACTCCTGTACTCCCTTTTTTTTAAAAAAAAAAAAAAAAAAAAGAGAACATTGACTTGAAAATATGCACATCAGATGATTTTTAAGCTAGTAGATATTTTTGAATTTGCAAAATGTGATTTATTTTCAGTCTGTGAAAACCCTGACCTTCTACAGATATGTTTGAGTCATTGTTACAATATCTTTCCCTTTCCATCATAATTTCTCTAAGGTGTTCTCTGGCCTCCCATTCTTACCTTAAAAATTATGTCAGAAGAACTTACGATTGTGCAGGAATGTTATGGTATGATCCTCTCATTGAATATAAATTGGATGGAATCTAGGCTCAAGAATTAATTTTTTAACTCCTCCCCTCCTGTTTCCCTCAGGACCTTCTTACTGAATCACTTTCCCTCCCTCCCTCCCTCCCTCCCTCCCCCTCCTCCCCCATTTTGAAGCAGGGTTTTGCTGTGTTGCTCTGGCTGGGCATAAACTTATTCTCCTGCCTTAGCCTCCCAGAGTGCTGGGATTTACAGGCATGTGTTACCACGCCAGGTTTAAAGAGTTGATATTTTAACTTTCACTGCCCACCTTATAATCTGGAGTAGAAGCTGATTTCCATTCAGGCATCACTATGATGAAAGCGTTGATCGCTTGACCATCATTGTCTTTTGAAGTGATGAAAAGTTCATCCAGATTGGAAGATAAGCAGTTTATGACTACTGTACAAGGTGTTACGGTTATTGCTGCTCTGATATAGTAGGACTCTGTTTATTTGTAATGATTTAGCATTCTCCCCTAGTGTAAACGATCCCATACTGGATTGCTTAAATATGTGGACCACTTAGCCTGCAGTCAGTTGCTGGAATACAGTGAATTCTGTATTTAATGATGACCAGTTATTCCATGGAAGTCATTCTGGTAGGGTCCCTTCCCCCTACCCAACCTTGTCCTTTTTTTTCCCCCTGTTAGGGGAGGGAGGTGAAAGTACATATCTCTGAACAATTTCTGCTTATTTGGAGAAGATGTTTTAAAAAATAGGAACTCATTAAATAGTAATAGTGTATATGAAAAATGTAAGAGTGTTATAAATAGTTACGTTTAGGCAAACAATATGACTCTTGTGTATTAGATTCTTTTAATTTCTAAGGACTTCGAAAATATAGTGTCAGTATTGTTATCCTTGAAAAAAATTAATAAATTTTAACATAACCAAATACCAATTATTGATCCGTTTTTTTTTAAGGTTTGTATGGTTAGGTGCATCTCATTTTTCCCCCCATGACCCATTTCTTTTGCTGCTTTGAACAGATGGAGTAGGAGGATGTAGGACTGGGTCCGTAGGTTTGAGATGTCAGAAAAATTAATTTTTGGATTTACTGTTTTATAAATTCTGTTACTGCTTATTTTTAGGTTCTGGTGTTTGTCTTTATAATCTTTGGTTTGTCACACAGTGTTTAGGAAGCTGTTCTAGGAAACAAACTTGCCAGACTCAAAACAGCCAACAAATTTTGCTGTCTTTGAAGCAAAAATCCCATTTCCACTTTACTTTATTTCCAATTTTGGATTTGGGATGGACATTTTATCAAATTAGAAAATTTTTATAATTTTCCCACTAAAACCTAAATGGTAGTCAATTGGTAGAAAGAGGTAGAAAGTAGAGAGGATAATAAAAACATACACTTTAGTTTACATATTTTCCCTTTGTGATTCTGAAAAAGGAGTTTATGTGAAGTAGCTTTGATTTGATTTTTAGAGTCCAAGGAATCTCTTTTTCCTTCCTGTTTTTATTTTTTTAGTGTGAGTTCTGGTTCTTTTGGGCTGTGCATTTGTTTCGGTCTCATTAAAAAGTTTTTAAAGGTACAACATACTTAGTGTTGTGAAGGAAGGAAGTCTTGCTGTCCCAGGGATTTAGGTCAGGGCTTATTAACCTTGGCACTATCAGTGTTTTAGGCTGGATGATTATTTAATGAATAGAGTGGTTTTACACATTGTAGGATGTTTAGCAGTATCCCTGGCTTGTTACTCACTAGATAACACTAACACCTTCTCCATTTGTGACAGCCACAAATGTTTATAGGTATTACTGAATACCTTGGAGAACAAAGTGATTTTGGTTGAGAATCAGTGATTTGGCTCTCATGTCAGATTCTTTTTTTTTTTTTTTTTTTTTGTGGAACCGGGGATTGAACTCAGGCCTTTGCGCTTGCTAGGGAAGTGCTTATTCCACTAAACCATCTCCCTGGCCCCTCATGTCAGATTCTAACCCCTATTTTAAATTGTACGTTTCCTTGTAGTGATCACTATAATTTTAAGTCTACTTTATTCACAGACTATAAGCTATGGGAACAGGAACCACATGTCTTTCTTGCTTACTGTCCTTGGTGCTCAGCGTATATGTCAAATAAGTAATTCTTGAATAAATAGGTAGTGTACTATTTAGCTGAATGACCTTGGCCAACGTATTTACCACTTCTGGACATTTAGTTTTAAATTATGTGACTAATTTGATTTCATATTTAGGTTCCATGTTAGTGGGAAGATTATTT